CTGTAAGAAAAATACTACATTACATGATTTATAATGCAAATAAATTAATAAATAAAATAAAAGATTTGGTTATCAATGTAGTAATTATTAGAATGCGTACCAATTTTCGAAATAACACTTATTTTTCAAAAATTTAATTTTTTAAGTTTCTTGAATAAATTTAGTGGAAGAGATTGTTAGTAGAGAAAGAGAGAGATTTCAAATGGCCTCATTGTATGAACCCTATCTTTAAATTAATATTCCTAAATTTATGTTAAAGATCACCATGTTATAAAAATAAAAAACCATAATTAGACTTTCTAGGTTGTATTAAGAAATAATTGTTGGATTAAGAAATACCTTTTATTTTTTTTGACAAGAAATACTTGTTGTATCCAAGAAAAATATGATACTTGTTGTATATCTTTTTATTTTATTTTTGACAAGGAAAATAAGAAGATGTTGTATTACCTTTTTTTTTTTTTTGTATTACCGTTTGTTTTTTTTTTACAAGAAAAATAAGAAAATGACGTTGCCAAGGTACCTTTTATTTTTTTATACCTTTTATTTTATTTTTTTGACAAAAAATACTTGTTATATTACCTTTTTTTTTTCTAACAAGAAAAATAAGAAGATGTATTACCTTTTTTGTTTTTTTTGACAAGAAATGTTGTATTACCTTTTATTTTTTATTATTTTCCTTTTATTTTTTTTGACAACATTATTTTCTTCTTTTTATTTTTTTTGAAAACAAAGTATTACCTTTTAATTTTTATTTTTTTCCTTTTATTTTTTTGACAACATTATTTTCTTCTCTTTTTTTTTTTTTGAAAACAAACAAGACGTTGGATAGTGCCTAGGTTTGAACTTGGGACGTTCAAGACGAAATCGTAAGTGATAAGCAATTGCACCATGTCACCGAGTGTTTTGCTTTCCATAATAATGGAATATATTGAATTACCGTGTTCGAATCCCACATCGAAGCAGTAAAAGAAGTTTGAGTTGCATAAATACCTCCTCAATACCTTACTCGTTAGCGTGTTCAGAATAGTGGGTAGCGTGATGTAGCATGAGGTACATGTGGCCTTCCTTGTAAAACGACCTTTGTTGTCCCGATTTTTAACTAAATTACAAAAATGCTTTCATCCAGTGATTCGGCGATTTATAGCCAATTTGTGATGTCAGACTCCGATTTGTGACGCCATTCGAACGATTTACTGTTCAGAATCGACGATTCTCCTCTAGAACGGGGCGAGTCTACGCTTTTTAAAGGAATCGACACAGGGTGACCGATTCCCGTGTCGAACCGGGCGAGTCCGTTTCGACTCTTTGTGTTTTAAATCACTGGTTTGAACAGTATTGGGAGGAGTGGGTCGCATCAAACTTGTCTATAGTTCATCTATATGGCCCACTATTCATCCATGACGATCTACTCATTTGATTTTTTTTAAAGAAAGTAGACTAGAAAGTAGACTATTTGTATTGATAGTAATAAGAGGTACATGGTAAGAGTAAATGCAAAATTTAGGCATTCCCCTTAACTGGGTGCCCTATACAAAGCCCCTGGGAGTCAAAAAATGCTCTACAAATTAGAGAAAATGAATGTGGTGCGGGCTTAAGAATAGTCTATGATCCCTTTGGGAGATTTGAGGCTAGCTCCCTCCCGTGCTAGAGCATATCCCTCAGTGTTAGCTTGCCTATGAATGTGTCTCCAAGGGACTTGAATACTGCTCAAGAGGTGAACAATTTCAACTAAGATGTTGTCTTAAGTCTCCACGGACAAGGGGCAATACCAGAGGCCCAAGCAACAGTGTTTCTGGAGTCACCCTCTACTAACACCTGTGTGTTCCAATTGTAATCTAGCCTTCTAAGGCCTTCGAGCAATGCCTTGGCCTCTCCAATAGTTGAGTCCGCAACTCCAATTGGCAAAGCAAAAGAGAATAGTATTAGGCCTTTATAATTCTTATACAGGCCTCCAATGCCAGAGGGACCCAGGTTGCCTCCAATGCCGGAGGGACCTGGGTTGCCTAGAGAGCAACCATCAAATTTAACCTGATAACCCTGGTTCCGGCAGCCTCATAAGGAAGCACGGGGGATCCTCTGGGTCCTAAGATGAAGCAATGCCAGCCAATGGTGGTGAAGATCCGTGAAGGAAACCAAAAGGTGACAAGTGACCTCCTCTTTTCGATAAGGGTTAGGGTAGAGGCTCTCTCCCCTCTTAAAGAGTTCTATTATTCTTTTCTATCCAAATGATTCATAAAGTGGCTGAGATGGAGGCTCTCCACAGGAGTTTCCCTGAATTTTTCCTAGGGGTTCGAAGCACGTGGAGAAATGGTGATGGACAGACTGCGGAATGACGCACAGCTAACTGAAGAGAAGGAGTAGGTCAGTCCAAAGGGCCAAGGCCACTTTGTAGTGTAAGAAAAGGTGTTGATTTGTTTCTTTGGCTTGGAAGCACATAATGCATCTGTTGGGCAAGGGTAATCCCCTGCGCTGTAATTGATCGAGTGTAAGGGCCCTTTCATGGAGAGCTATCCAAGTAAAGAACTGGATTTTGGGGGCAAGAAGGAGCACCAAGCCTTGGCTATACTATGGAGGGAGAGCAGCGGGAGTTGAAGGCAGGGAGGAGAGGCTTCAGTAAAAGGAAGCAACTGTGAATGAACCTGAGGGAGAAGGGGACCAAACAATCTTGTCCTCTCCTGTAGGTGAAAGAAATACTGAATGAAGCAAGGCCGAGAGATCCAAAAATTGGTCGTGATCAGCTAATGGTCTCCTGAAGTTTGGGTTCCATGATCTCGCAGTAAGTGGGCCAGCAACACTTTCAATCACCGATGAGGAGGGATTGCGGGCAAGAAGGCAAAGGGAAGGAAACATATCCTTGAGGGCCAAAGATCCTACCCCAATATCGTGCCAAAATCTGACCCTGGGGCCTCTTCAGGGTATGGATTGAATATGGTTGAGGAAAAACTGGCAACTGTGCAGCACGGACCTCCAGAAAACTGAAATATTGCCTCTCATTCTACAAGATGGGAGCCAACTGTGGCTGTCTCGGCAGTACTTGCGTGTAACCACTTCTCTCCAGAGGTGGTTGGGTTCGGTAGGAAATCACCACCACCACTTCCCCATTAAGGCTAGATTGATGGTCCTAAGGTCCCGGATGCCAAGACCCCCTAGAGCTTTGGGTTGGCAAACCTTGACCCAATTGATTAGGTGGAATTTGTGGGCTCCTTCATTGGACCATAGAAGCTTTTCCAATCTAGCAACAACTGCCGCTGGCATAAACAAGAGGGACATGCAGAGAAGGGGGATGCTAGAGTACCAGCAGGGGAAAGGAATCTCCCTTTCCTCGAAGCCAACCGTCTCTCGACTTTGTCTATGACAGGGCTCCAGAGTTGGCTTCGAGGAAGGCTAGTGCATAATGGGAGGCCATGTTAGGAGGAGGGCAAGGCCTCTACAGCACACCCCCAGTTGCTGGCAAAGCTTTGGACCAAAGCCTGGTCAAGGCAAATCCCAGTCATCTTAGTTTTCTCTAGGTTCAGCCTAAAGCCTGTAGCCAGCTTGAAACATTGAAGAAAAAGCATTAAGTAATTAACTTCTTGGTGGGAGGCATTGCAAAATAGGATGGTATCGTCGGTGTATTGATGGCTAGAAATCGAGGGACTCGACCTTGCCACTTGGAAGCCTGAAAGGCAACCCGCGCTCTACGGTCAAGAGATTGAGGCACTAAAAACCTCAACCACTATAGCAAATCGAAACGGTGAGAGGGGGTTCCCTTGTCGGAGTCCTCGCAAAGCTTGAAAGTAACCCAGGGGGGTGCTGTTTATGAGGACCGAGAACTGGGGTTTGGAGATACAACCTTGGATCCATTTCCACCAAAGGGGCCCGAATCCCATTCTAGATAAGGTTTCATCTAGGATTTCCCAGTCCACATGGTCGTAGGATTTTTCTCAATCTAATTTGATGACCAAGCCAGGGATTTTGGAATTACACCGGGAGCAAGTGGATACATTCGTGGGTTACTAAGGCCCCATCATGCTCATTTGATTTTACAGTGATAATTGACATTGGTCATTTTGTTATCGTTACCTTGTGGATCAAGTTATGTTTTCCATTGGATAATATACGAAACGAGTTGGGTCAATTAATTTTGATCACAATTTTCTTGACTAGGTATAAGGTTGAGATGGTAAATTTCATTCCTTTGAATTGCCCTTGTTTGTGCTTATGTAACCATTGGTTACATGTAACCATTGGTTACATACCACCTGTTGGGTTTCATTTGGGTATGCTATTTCTTTTCTTGAGGGGGATTGTGAAATGTGGTGTTGGGTTAATCCTCTAGCATACATGTTTAAGAATTTAGTTTCTTTTATAACCCTGAAATGGAGGAGTGTTGGGTTAATCCTCTAGCATACATGTTTAAGAATTTAGTTTCTTTTATAACCCTGAAAATGGAGGAAAGCATATCTCATAGTTTCTCTTTCCCTTCCCTGCTGCATGACATGCTTATTCATGATTTGTTTAGTGTTCCTTTGAGGTTTTCTGTGTTGTCTACTCAACATGATTATCATTTATTTCAATTGTACTTCAGTGCGATTTCACTGGATACTAGATATTAGAGAGCTTTCAAATTATTTGGTCAAAGGATCTCTCTCTCACACACACAAATGTTTTGGGGAAATAGATGGTTTGAGATTAAACTTGAAGGAATCTGCTGTTACGTCCATGTTCAATTTGCCATCATCCGCTTCCTAAGTTGCAATTATCTGCCTGGTGATTTCAAAGCAGTGATCTTACCGGTTTTGTTTTGTTTTCTCTCTCATTCTATTTCTCTAACAGATTTATTAGAGAAATATATGATTTAGATCAAACTTCAAGGAATTTGCTGTTCAGTCCATGGTCAAGTTTGCCATCATCTGCCTTTTTAGTTGCAGTTATCTGCTCTGCAATTTTCAATGCAGTGAATCATACCATTTTGGAAGTTTAGATTGCTACTAACTTCTATCTTTCCGCATCTGTAGCATAAACACTGTATACTACATGGCCCCATTTGCCACCATGATCTTGGCGGTGCCAGCTCTCTTACTAGAAGGCTCTGGGGTTGTGCAATGGGTACAAACCCACCACCAACAACTCGACTCGTCGCTTCTCATAATTTTTGGGTCAGGTGTCTTCGCCTTTTGTCTCAACTTCTCAATCTTCTATGTCATCCATTCCACAACAGCAGTAACTTTCAATGTAGCAGGCAATCTCAAGGTGATTATTCTTCTCCCTCCCTCTCCCTCCCTCTCTCAATGTGATCAGAAGCTAAGACAATTCAAAACCTTCCATAATCTGCAGGTTGCAGTGGCTGTAATGGTTTCTTGGCTGGTATTTAGAAATCCCATTCCAGCTTTGAATGCTTTTGGATGTGCAGTGACTCTCTCAGGGTGCACATTCTATGGGTATGTTAGGCACAAACTCTCTCAACAGCCAGGAACCCCACGCTTAGGGACGCCACGAATGGGTGGAAACAGGGTAGAGATGCTGCCTCTTGTAAGTGATAAGCTTGACGAAAAGGTCTAGTCATGGTTATCCTGTAACACCAATGTAAATATGCTTTTCAATAATTTATAGAATCATTTCATTATCGTTATCATGGAGTACCTCACAGTGCTATATGTTTATGTTTTTTTATTTATTTTCGTAACTCATCTGCTGGCTTGAGGCGTGCTCTCTTTTTCTTGTTCTTTCTTCTTAAAGTTTATCTTGTGCTTTGAGCTTAGAGAGGCTTCTATTTCTGATATTTGCGACACATCTACAATGCATAGAAGGTGATTATGTTCCACCCATGTCATCAGCTGATATTTTATATCTCGATATTTCAAATTTACCCAAAAATATTCATATCACTGGCACAATAAAGATCAGAGAGGAACCCATCTTATTCTAATTCCGAATGGAAATTTTTACATTGGTCAATATCAGAAGTTCTTTCATCTGAATTAATTTGGACTGAATTGATGGCCCCATTTGAGGTTACAACTCTTTCTGAATTCTCCAGATTCAAGAGACTCATGATTAGTTAGCCAAACTACCACTTAGCCTGAGTTGTCCATGATTAAGCAAGAAGCCAGAAATTCTTTTGCCATCTGCTTGTGATTAGGTAACCCCCAATGCCTTTGCTCTGTTTCCTAACAGCAAGTGTAAGGCAATCAGTGTTGTTGATGCACTGGTCCACAAACTCTTCATGGCTGTTCCTGAACATGCTGCAACATGTAATAAGACTTGATTGAGATAAGTTCAGAGGGCTTGGGGCAGAGAGAGAGAGAGGGAGAGAGAGATTACCAGCCTAGTGGGGAGGGCTTCTTCTGGCCTAAGACCAGAACAGAGGCTTCAAGCTTCTTGACCTGACTGATCACAGTGGAGGATCTGGGTCCTTGGATTACTAGAGCCTCCACATCAACCTGGCCTCCAACGAATAAATGCAAAGAAAGTAAGTGACCACTTATGGTATCCCAATAGTGAAAAGTAAAACCAACACACAATCAAGCAAAACTGAAACTGGATACTTGATCCGGGAAGGTGAAAGATTTTTTCTTTTTGATGATTAGGATTTGATTACCCAAGATCAACAAAAGATTATACAATGCAAAACAATTGACAAGTTCTCCAACCTTGGCAACCAATACTAGATCAGAGAGAGAGAGAGAGAGAGAGAGAGAGAGAGAGAACTGTGATCTACCAAATACACAACCATGGAGTGAAGTAATCTCACACGCCAAGGTCCGTTTAGGATGGTGTAGAGAGAGAGAGAGAGTATGTCATCTCCAAATACACAAAATCAAGAAGTGAAGTAAACTCTCACATAAGAGACAGGACTGCGATCTCCAAATGCACAAAATCATGGAGTAAGTAAACTCACATACTAAGGCTGTTTTAGGATGAGAGAGAAAACAAAACCATGTAATGAAACCACGTACTAATGCTACTTTAGGATGGTATCACAAAGAGAGAGAGAGAGAGAGAGAGAGAGAGATCCGTTATTCTGTAACGACTCGCCCACTAGACCATTTTTAGGAAGGCATCTCTGCCCAAAGAAACAATGTCACTTCCTTCAATATCTACTGTCGAACTCCATTACTAAGTTCTACAAGAAAAGGAAAATAAAAATAGAAACTTGATTATTACCTCAGATTTGCAGGCCTTGCATAGAGCACCAAGTGAGCGAGCAAGATCAGAAGGAACCTCGGTGGAAGCAGCTCTATGTCCTGGCTCTATGACCTGGAATAGAGTGACAAGATCACCTTTATTAGCAATATGAGTAAGAGCCCACATAACTGCATGCCTTGAAGAGCTTGATGAATCCACAACCACCATCACTCTTCTTCTCATCAATGGCTCCCTCTGGTTCAGTTGTTGCAAAAGCCCGTGCATGTGGTCCAGTGTTTTTTGCTCTGTTGAGGCTGCTTTCCTGCTCCACCTCTTTGATGACGAGCTCCATTGCTCTCTGCTGAAAAGAGAAGGGCCATGGCCGTTTCCGTGAAGAGATGACATTGTTGAGGCACTGATTGAGTAAGGAATGGGGATTTCAGAGATGGGGGGTTTTCTTTGGAAATGGATCTGGAGCTGCTGAGACAAGTTTCGGATGCTTTCGTGTCGTTAGTGAGATGGGCTTTTCAGAATGGAAATGGGTTTGTAGAGAGAAGCTTTCGAGTTGCCAAGAATGCAGATTCTTAGAAATGTGCTTGGATTTGTGAAACCGAAGCTTTAGAGAGGGACAGAGGGGTTGGAAACGTATTTGAAGTTGCAGAGAAGGAAGCTCTGGGTAAGAAATGGTATTGATGATTTAGAGAGGGGAGCTTTCCTTGACTCTCAGATATAGGGTGTCTTAAAAATGAAGTTTGGAGCTGCACGTAAGGCAAGATTTGGAGACTTCAATGGAGTTACAGAGACTCGGGTTCTCAGAAAGGGATTTGAAGCTCTAGAGAAACTTTGGAGGCTTTGATTGAGTTTCACAGATGAGGTTCTCAGAAATGGAGCTTGAAGCTGCAAAGTTTGAAGCTTTATAGACTTTGTTGCAAAGTGGCAGAGATGGGGTTTATTGCCAATGTGGTTGGGAGTTGGAGTTAGAGGGGACTGAAACCTGAGATGGTTTGGAGTTTCAGAGATTTGGGGCTTCTTGGAAATGGAGTTTAGAGTTGCTGAGAATGGTTCTTCGGAAAATGAGTTTGAGGAGAGTTAAATGCTGCAGGTGTTGCAGAGTGGAGTGGGGTGGGCTCTTTAGAGAGAGAGAGAGAGTGAGAGAGAGAGAGAGTGAGGGATAGAGCCATTGAATTGGAGGGGAGTGTGGGGTTCTCTTAAAAATGGGAGATGGCGGTGAAAAAATTTGAGTAAATTGCAGAAGGGACAAAGAGATGATGGGATTTGTGAAGTTTTTTTTTTTTTTTAATATTTACTCACGGGTGCCTGCAAAGAGGGAGAGCCATCAAGCATCGTTGTTACTGAATTTCGTGCATATTCATTAAATATCAATAATGGGTGGTCCCCCTTTCGACGTGGCTGGAAACATATAAGGGAAAATTACAAAATACACTTTAAAAGAAATTATCTATGCAACTTACCTCCACTTTAATTTTTTTTTCTCACACTTTTTTCTTCCAAACAACCTTTCAAAACCCCCAAGGGTAAATTTTTTAAAATTTTTAGACAAAAATGCCCTTCTTATAAAACCAAATCAATTCGCAATCCCAAATAAAGTAGTGCCGGAGCACAGTATACTACTACCGGAGTGGAATGTCACGAAGCACTGCTGGAGCGCGGTGCTACATTGTCGGAGCGAACTGTCGGAGCGTGTATTTTCAGTACTGGAGTGCATTCTCAAATTGTCGGAACGGACTGTCGGAGTGTGTAGTATCACTGTCGGAGTGCAGTTCTCAGTATGCCGAAGCGATGTGGCTTAGACAAAGCACTGCCGGATGCCGGAGTGTGCATTAGGACTGTCGGAGCGCAGACCTCTATTGCCGAAGCCGAAGGCTGTGTGAAAAGAAACAGGAGAGAGAAGGCCGTGTGAAAAGAAAGGATGGTATTTTAGTTTTATTTTATGTTACTTTTGGGTTGGACGGTTTTTTGCGAGGAAAGATTCTTTGAGGGAGAAAAGTGTGAGAAAAAATTGGGGTGGAGGTAAGTTGCGTAAATAGTTCATTTTAAAATGTATTTTGTAATTTTTCCAACATTTAAAGTCGAGAACAATATTTTTGTTTAGTTTGTTTAATGGTGAAAAATGTTGATGCCCCAATTTATATTTTTTAATACAATAACCCTACTACTGTTTTTCTTTGCAACCATACCTCTCGTAAACAAATTTATTTTTTTAATCAAATACCCCTTAAAATCCATGTTTCCCGGTGAAGTTTTATTTCATTCATACTTCCTAATAAAATATGTTGAAAAATAGGTATTATATATAATGAAACTATTTACTTTTAGGGTCCGTTTGATAACTGGAATCAAGAAGATGAACTGGAAATTGGAAGTTTCTAAAAAATTATAAATTAGTAGTTCTTGAAGAAGTTTATGGTTTAGGTGTTTGATAACATTTCTATAAAGTTAAGAAGTTCTTGGTTTATGTGTTTGCTGGGAAGTTAAGAACTTCGTGGTTTCTATGTTTGATAACCTCTTGAGAAGTTAAAGAAGTGCTGGGCATATGTATTGGACTAGCTTGAAATAGGCAAGATGTAAAATGTTAAAATTGAGACCTAGATATTATTTATTTTTTATTAATTTGTAGAATATTATTTTTTGAGATACAATATCAATTGAAAGTAAAATACTTTGGATTGAAAGAGAGAGATAGAGAGTGTGTGTTGCTATAAGAGAGTTTTATTGATGAGTGAGAGAAGTATTCTAAACCTCCAAAGTCTGTAGACAATGTCAAGCACAACCTCAATTCAATATTATGTACCATATCACTAGTTTTTTAATCGACTGTCTCAAAATAGAAATCAATATATTTTATTAACTATTGTGGTCATATAATTTATTGAGTCTTTTTACAAATATGAAGTGGAATAGGTGTTTAAATTTCATAAGTAGGTTGTCGATGATTTTATTTTTAAATCAATTACAAACTCTCTTGCTCTCTCGCTACTCCTCACACACACTTGCACACACACACATACAGCGGTCATGACAATTATGGATTTGGTTTCATGTATTCTATTGGATTGTGCCATAATAGCTTCAGCACAACATACAAATACACATGCACAATTAATGCATCCATATGCAAGCAATAAGAAAGCAGCCCATTCAATAATAACCTTTAATAGCTTGAACACTACTTAGACATACATTCACCACTGATGTTTGTCATTCAACAATAAAATAACATTGTTGTTTGTCCCACAATGTTTCCAACATTTAAAAAAAAAAAAACAGATTTAGACAAAAATTAGAACTTTAATGAAAGGAAAGTCTAGATTCTCAAAAAGACAGTCTTGAGATGCCGAGATCCCTTGAAGAAGACATCAGCACCTATTTCTTCCCCCTTCCACATGGCTTCAATCTAAAGCATCTGTGTTAAATATCTTCTCCAATTCGTTGAAGTATATAGGCAAAGTACTTTGTCACATAAGTAAACTCCTGTAAGAAGAATACACATATGTATTGAATTTGTGTGAACATTGCACCTAAACTTGCAAAACCACAAAGAAATAGACAACAAATTCATTCAACTCACAGCTATATACCGATCCAGCAGTTACCATTCGATTAACCTTATCCCAGCCAAAACCTGGTTGTCTCAAAATGTTTTTTACTTCCCTATACATTGCTATAAACTGCTGGACCTTACTCTTCAATCATTCCAAAGTGATGACAGAGAGGGAGATAAGAGATAAAAACATGGACATTGCACACGATTGGGAAGGCCTCATCCAAATCAGAAGTTGGCCATAATGATCCCAATGTCTTGAAATCCCTACCTCACTTTGTCGTTCCGCTTGAACTCGAAATCAAAATCTGATTGCACAATGCGGAAAAAAATCCATTGGTGATGACAAATGAAAAATCATAAACTTAGGTGACAAGACAACCAACTTCAAAAAAGTACCAAAGCAAGATAACCAAGACAAGTCACTCGAATCCCACTAATTTCAAACCAATTGCTAATGGAGATGACAAAAAGAAGGAAGAAGAAGAAAACTTGGTTGAGCAAATCCAGCCAACTTCAAGACAATATCTAAGTTTCAATGCATTTACAGATGTGTCCCTCTACTAAGTCAAACTATCAAACAGACAATATGCATAACACAGAATATCCCAATCTGAAACGAAGTATCTGCAAATAGCAAAGAACTTCAAGTTCAAACAGATTTCCAAACAGAGAACAAGATCACTACACATCAATACACACTCATCAATCGCATTTTCAGGCATTATTGAGTTCTACGCCTAATTTCGGTGAAAATCCAACAGCATTTTCCAATGCTTGGTCCCAAATTTGTCAAAATTCACCACCTAATATTAGGTGGAGAATTTCAACAAGTATAAATTAACAGGAATTCCAAACCAAATTAGAAAGCATTATTTGGATTAGAAATTAGTAACACTTAAAAACTCGCACTTTTTCTTTTCAAGTTCTTCAACCAATTCAGCAACTCTACGTTGCCTTGAATGCAATCCATTTCTTCCAAGGATGAGTGCACCAATGAACCAAAAACAACACTTACTCTCATTTCCAATATGTGCAGTACTTGGAAAAAAAAACTGCTTATATATTCCATTCATCAACAAATTTCCTGCCATTTTGGGGGTTTTTGAGAGAACCTGGTAACTGATACAAAACCCTAGAGCACTGGTAAAAAAAATCCTTAATGGGGATAATATGTAATAGTTTACACATACATAATCGAGTAACATTCACAATCCATGCATCCATAGATAACCATATACAAAACCACCCCCTTCAACAATAACCTCTAATAGTTTAAACATACGTAATTGAAAATGCAAGCAACAAGAAATCAGCCCATCTAAACACACATGCACAATGCAAGTAGTAAGAAATCGGTCCATTCAACAATCACCTGTAATAACCTGAGCACTACTTATATCACCATTGATGTTCAACAATAACCTGTAATAGTTGAAATATACATATTTGAAAATGCAAGTGAATGAACACAACAGTTCGACAATAACCTGTAATAGTTTAAACATATATAATTGAAAATCAATAAAAGCCCAGTTTAACATAAATATACTTTGCAAGATAATAAATAAGTCAAATAACGTCTAGCAACTTAAGTAGGACTCCCACAACTGCATCACCATGGCATCTCGCAAACTAACATCATCATCATGATCAGCTTGCCCCTGAGCCAATCGCGAGAAACCATCATCTCTGTTAATTACCAGTTCACTCTCAACCCTCCTTCAAAAACACAGCTCTTTTTTGCTATCGGCTCTTTGTATCATCATGATGTAGTTGTGCAATATTGCATATACAATAACTACATCAACATGTGTTCGTAAAGGATACCGCATTTGATTCTTAAGTACAAGAAATCTGGCCTTTCAAAGCCCAAATGTCCTTTCCACCACATTTTTAAGCGTCGAAAGCCGCTTGCTGAATAACTCTTTCTGATTTTAAGGAGCTCATGGGCCTGAAGTAAATTCGTTCAGCTGGTAACAGACTCTTAGATATGGTCCTATCAAACCATGCATAGTAGGATAGCCACCATCTACAAGGTAGTATTTTCATGTTCTATGTTTGTACAATGAGTATACTATAAAGCCAGATATTACGCTACCCAATATTGTACAAACCAAAGCAACGAAAAATAATGTAATGGAGTTATCCTCAGGCACTGCAAGCCTACTGCGTCCAATACTAATTGCATCATATAGGACTTTTAAATTTTTTCCCTATAAACGGTTTTGACACCAAATTTTGGATCCCCATTCCTCTATTAAACCCACACTAGCGAAAAATATAAAAAAAATATTTTCAATAAAATAAAATGACCAAAATACCCCTAAAAGATTTAAGGGGTATTTGATCATTATATTTTATCGAAAAATTATTTTTAATATTTTTTATAGGTACGCCCCAAACGGCGAGTGGCTCTCTTGATCAGAATTGGGCGGCTGGATGGTAGGGGGAGGATAGAACTTCTATATTGTAGGGGGAGCATAGAAAGCTTACCCTTTAGTAAGGAGGTCACAACTACTTATAACCAACTGATATGAAATTTAACAGCTTGGTTGTGTCACAAAGTTTTAGACTTTTGAACATTGAGCTTAGTCAGTACATCAAATGCAACCGTCCAATTTTATGTTTAATAGTCAAGATTAATTGTAACCTCCTTGAAACAAAAGTAAATAATCTTATTATATAGCTTTCCTAAAAAATAATCAAACCATGATTATTAAGGATGACAACATAAAACTCACTTCATTTTTTCATTATAAACCCTTGTTTCGTTTCCTATATTTGAATGATCAGGGTTATAATCATCAAGGTTCTATATAATGTTTTGAAACTAGGATCAACCAGGTGAATCAGTCATATGGGAAACGACTTTGAATCTGTGATCTAACAAATTTTTTGGACAAGAATTGGTGTATTTATGAAGAAATAAAAAAGTAGAAATAATAAAAAAAATATAGAGCGTGGGAGCTGGGTGATCGGGCCGGTTCAGATTACCCAGTTCCCCAACATGATCATTGATTCTTTGACAAAAACCGGCAAACAATGATAGATTTGAACCGGTCCCAATGCTTCATTCTAAGCCTAATTTCCAATTTTCATCGACGATTCTCAATTCAAATTGGTATATTCTGAAACACAATTCCATAGGTTCCGATCCTAAGGACTATGGTTATCTTTTAATATAATTTTTGAGGCGGTATCCACATATTAAATGGGATTATTTGATCAAGTTAATGATCTTGCCAGGTGATTTAAACATTTCATTGATATTTTTCTTTATCAACTTCTCATTTATCATTAAAAAGGAATCCTCTCTCTCTCTCTCTCTCTCTCT